CCCGGAGATGTGACGGATGGGTTGTCTTATGTCGTGTTTTTTTTTTTTTTTTTTTACGAGATGGCCTTCAAGAACGGAATATTTGAATCACACAGTGAACGTCGACAATTATTACTTACCCGCAAGGCCCACGCTGGACTCGCTCCCGGTTGCGGATTTTCCTGGCGATCCGCTAAACAAGACTGAGATCCACTTCCCGAACGTTTTGCAGAATTCTAAAAAGAGTTTGCGAGAATATATTTTGAAGCGCGTGAAGATTGGATGACAGAACCTCGTGGCCTGACCTTACGCATGATCTTCCGAGAACTCCTGCGCCTTTATCCGGGTGACTTCCGAAGCTTCTGTGTAAAAAGATAACAGCTACCCCTCCACCCCCAAAAGACAACAACGACAACAAAATCAATCTGGAAATCTCCACAGTCCGGGTTCAGGTGCCGCTGCCTGTCATGTCCGACCATGCTAATGCTAACGATTAGCCAACAGATCAGATTTTTGCTGTATTCAGCCGAGAGCGGGGTTGGGGGAGGGTGGAGTCACCAACATTGTGCCTATGGGCATTGTGAATTCCAAGTTCATGTTGTAAAAATGACTTGCAGACGTTTGAGACCGGATGGCTGTTGTTGTGCCCATTGCTCACGTCGCCAAATTGTCATTTGAACACGAACGGCGTCTTCACACGGATGAATCAAACGACCCCCTTCGCATGAATCCCCAGGAAGGAGTGGACAGTTTCAGACGAACCTTCTTAAAAAGCCCACCCCCCCCCCTTAAAAAATTCAACTTCGCAATTTATCATAAGAGGAAAAAAAAGGACCCTTGGCTTCGCTTTTAAGAGACTGATCAAGTTAAGAGTGTTGTGGGACACGCATGAAAAGATTCTGGGGACTCGTAGGCACCAGGGACCTTGATGAACTGGGCCGGATGCTAAATATAAGTTTTTATATATGGGAAGGGGTGTAGGGGGGGTGAGGGGTGGACTCTGAGGGCCGTGAAGAGTCAATTAATAGCCGAAGCCGAGCTCCGAAAAGATGACAAAGTGGGTCGGAAAGAGCCAGAGTGTCGCGATACATTTCCCATGATGCAACATCCCCAACTGAATGAATGTCCCGCGGGGATTCATTCGATGGACGCGTGTTCCGCAGAGCGTTTCCATGACGACAGCGAGAAATAGTCCGAGAAGAGCGAGCGTTTTGACACTTTTCCTTTTTATTCAGGTAGCAGCATCAGTCGGCCCCCCC